TATATGGGGATCTTACTATATCATACCCAAAGCCATATTCCATCTACTTAAGGGGGACTATAACCTTTAAACCCTAAATCCTAAACCTTAGACCATAAATCCTAAACCCTAAACCCTAAATCCTAGCTCCTAAACCCTAAATCTATTTAAGAGGGACTATAATTATAAGCATTCCCCTTGCCCTGACAGCTTTATCCGACGGAACCTTCTGGGCCACCGCCGCAATGGAGCGAGGAGCCTACTGAGGTGCCTAGTGGGAAGCCCTAAAACCCTAAAACCCTAAATCCTAAAACCCTGAACCCTAAATCAGAAACCCCTAAAACCCTAAATCCTAAACCCTTAGGGTTTAGGGTTTAGGGTTCGGGGTGACCTTAGACCCCTAAACCCTAAGCCTTTGTAGGGTTTTGGGTTTAGAGGGTTTTGGGGTGTAGGGTTTGGGGTTCGAGAGTTTCTAGGGGAAATTCTTGGTTCTAGGGTTTGTGGTCTTGTAGGGACTTAGGGTTTACTTGAAGATTCATGGGATTTAGTAGTAGAGGTTTAAGGTCAGGGCCTCTGGGGATTAGGTGTTGGGGCTTAGGGTAGAGGTTTAGGGTGGATTTGAAGTTCCAGGTTTGCGGTGTTCAGGGTTCGAGGCTTAGTCTGGACTGACGGAACTGGTTATTGGGGATGTGCAGAACCTTAGTATACTACAGTACCATAATGCCATAGGTATGAGGTACTCAGGGTCCTGCAGGTGTTTTAGTTTCCACCCTAAACCCTAAACCCCAAATCCAAGCCCTGAACCCAGTGCTCCAGCATTTAGCATGGGGAGTTCATGGCAGTATGCCATGCAGATTCCCTTTCCCAACTCAGACAACAAAAAATCAGCACCTAACTTTGCATCTCTATTGAATCGGTGCCAACAATCACCAGCCGCCTTTCGATCTTCAAGTGAGCCTGCCCAAAACCCGGAGCTTTCTAAACTCGAGTAAAATGTTTTGTGTAGACCCCCCCACCCTGTACTCGTGATGCAATAGGACTGTAAGAGGATCCTAGTATAATCACCGTTATCCCGGTATCCCTTATAGGTACTATTACTGGGTGGGGGTTCACCCAAAGTATGCCCTAGACTTCCCAAGCGCAAGCTCAACATGCAACATCCTAAGCTTCCTGAAAAATGAGGGTTTCTGAAAGGAAGCATCATACAATCCTTAAGGGGGAGGCCCTTACCTTCTCTTCATACTCCCTATATATCTCCTCAGCCTTAAACCCTAAACCCTACACCCTAACCCCCCCCCCTCCCTTTTTGAGAAACCCTTTTATGTTCTTTTGACTTGCAGGCGGAGGAGCCAGAGGAGCCACAGGAAACGGAGCCGCAGGAAGAGGAGCCATCTACTTCCAGCAGTTCACGGCCAGGAGCGCAGCCTAGCGCAGGACAGCAGATTTTTAAAGGATCACTAGGGTAGTATTTTATTTGGCGATATTAAAATGGAGTAAGATTATATCCTCCTTTTGGGGTCTGGTATTTCATATAAGGAATATAATCTTAAAGGATCACTTGGAGGTCAGGGAAACTTAGTAAGTAGGTGAATAGTAGGGTTACTCGCGGTTCCTATAGGGGCGAAAAGCCTAAGCCCTAAATCCTAACATGGGCTATAGAAGTTCTAAGTCTACCCCCTAACCCTCCAAGTGGGGCTTTAGCTTTGGGATGGGGGTTTAGCGTTGAGGGAGTAGGAATTGGGGGGTTAGGCCACCTTCCAGCAGAGGGATTTGGTCTAGCGCTTTGGGGTTCGGGCTTCGTGAGCACGAGGGTTTTGGGAGTTTCGTTTTGAAGACGGGTCGGGGAAGCTTGCCTCACCCTAAACCAGGGGTTTAGGGATCAGGGCTTAGGGTTTGGGGTTTAGGGACGCTGCCAATCCTTGCCCACTTTTCCTCCTAGCTGCCATGCCTACGAGCGTGTGTTTTTTTGGCTGAGGTTCTAGGGCCTAGACCCTACATCTTCAAAGCTGGAGATCCTGTCCCTAGAAACTCCGAAAGAAGCCCAGTTTGCATTTCACGTTCCATTACCCTTTCCCATTTAATATGATTCTCCGCCATTTGAGGCCTTAAACCCTAAGCGCCCTAAAGCTCGAAGCAGGGCTAGTTTGACCATAGTCTCTTACTGTTCGTACGCGCAATCACAGTATCTTCCCTACAAAGCCAAATCATTTTGATAAGGAGATTAGAAGGGTCTTTTTGGGGGGATTTGCTCGTGATTTTCGTTGAGAAGTTCACATACTGGGATGCTTAATCCCTTCCCCTAGCTCCCCCTAGTAGCAAAAGATTCCCAACCCTAAACCCTGTTGTATTCTATGGTAGAATTCGAATATATAGAATATCTGCAGTGAGGTGATTTATTATCAGGGGAAGGGATGGGAACGACTTCACCTGATCTCACCGAAAACAATGTATATATACATATATTTATATGTGATTTCGAAGAAGGTCTAGGGTTTAGGGTTACATATATATATATATATGTAAGCTGGTACCCAGGGGTCTTGAAACACTACAGTTCACCCAGCTGAAGCGCCCAAAGCCCTACACTCCAAATGAACCCCTCAAACCCTAAAACCCTAGAAACTAAAGTGCATCCTAAAGCGAAACTAGACCCCTACACCCCCGCGCCCCCAAACCCCTAGACCCTAAAGTGCATCCTAAAGCGAAACTAGACCCTAAACCCTAAACCCCCACACCCCCAAACCCCTAGACCCTAAAGTGCATCCTAAAGGAAACTAGTAGAGCCTCAGCAGGAGCGACCAGCTTTCCAGGTCCAAAGAGCAGACTAAGGCTCGAGGTGTATGAACCTTATGCTATCGAGCAGTATAAGGGTTTAGGGTTTAGGGATTGGAGATTTGGGGTTTAGGGATTAGGGTCTAGGGATTGGGGTTAGGGATTGGGGTTTAGGAATTCGGTTTTAGGGTCTAAACTCCTTAAAGGGGGTTATATAGGGGATTATATAGGGGACTACTATTGGGGCTATTAACGGGGATACTAGGAGTTTAGATTGCGGCTCATATGGTAATAAAGGGTTGTACAGGGATAATGGAAAGAAAATGGAAAGTATCATTCAGGGGTTATATAAGTGTTATATAGCGTTCAGACTTTAGGGCTTATGGTTTAGGAGTAGAGCTTTAGGGTTGAGGATTTAGGGTTTAGGATTTAGAGCTTTAGGGTCTATGGTTTAGGCTTTAGATTTAGGGCTTCAGGTAGGCTGTCCTGAATGAAGGGTGGACATTCTTGTATTGGCCAAACTATAGCGACCTCCAACCATCATACTTCCAAAAAAAGCCGCGTCCGAGGATTTGGAAAGATTACTATAAGATAGCCAGATTGATTATGCTCAGAGGTAATGATACTACCAGCTATTTAGGCTTCTTGGTTGAGGTGGTTTCCCACAATCGGTGGGGAAGTAAGGTGGTACTTGTTTTTTTGGGAAATGACTGCAAAGGGTAATTGCGACCTATGTACATCATCGGGAGCCACTTGGGTTCGACAGGGATGTTACATGGATTATGCATCGGTTCCCTCTAGTCCTGAATTAGACTGAAGCTATTGAAGCCTTAGTTCGTAAACCCCAAACCCTAAACATTCTATTTGGCGCGGACTTTCTTCAAGTTATAGGTCCTTGCGATCGTGGGAAAACCCCTACCAGGCGCTGCCGACCCAAGCATTTGTCATTCAGGACTCTATAGGACTTCAGCAGGGGTACAGCCTACGGAAGCCCATAAATCCTGCCCCGAACCCCACCCTTAACCGAAAAACCTTGAGCCCCCCAGAAGCACCAAACGCTTGACTCCGTAAACCCTGAACCCTGAATCCTCAACCCTTAATCCTCAACCCTAAAACCCGAACCATAAACCCCCCTCCCCACCCCCGAACCCCCCTTAGCCTTATACACCTTGGGTCTCACAAGCCCTATACCCTAACCCCCCCCGAAAATAAAATTACGACCCGGCTTCACCTGTACGAAGGCCCACGCCGAAGACGCGTGCGAAAGCGTTGGCAGCTTCTGGTTCGAGGTGAAGCCATGCTATGGGGCCCATCCTTTTGAATTTTAGGGTTGAATCCTTATGGGGGTTTAGGGTTTCAGGGTATATCTTTTGGGTTTCAGGGTATAGTTTTTGGAGGTTTAACATCTTTTTGCGTTTAGGGTTTTATTGCTGTTTAGTATGCTTTAATGTTTTGGGGGTTCATTTTTGTTTGGGGGGGTTTAGGGGCTTGCGGCTTCCAGTTAAGAATCGGGCTCTGGGGCGTCTTCTTCCATAAAAGCGCGTATGTGGGGATGATCTCGGTCATAATTTGCTGGGTAAATTATAGGCTTCACCTCACATGGTTGTCAAATAGGCATCCAGACTGTAAGACTTGTACAGAGGGAGGAGTTAAATGAGTTTCTCATTCCGTAGCTCAAAATATTGCACATGGCCTTCCTCGAGCCAACATGGAGCCCCATGCAGCCCTGAACCCTAAACCTTAAACCCTAAATTCTATATGACGCGTTTTGGGCCCCATGGGGTGTTTAAAGTGCGCCGGGCTTGGCCTTCCGTAATGGAATAGAGTTTGGGGACCCAGAAACCCCACTTTAGGGTTTAGGGTTTAGAGTTATTTCATAGAAGAACGATGCCCATGTTCTCTTTTGCGGTGCCAGGTCTCTGTTTAAAGGGAAGCCTAGAAATCCTTGTAAGGAGTGCCACAACTCAGGCACGTTTGTATCTGTTGGGCCAGACGAGCCCCTACAAACCCTGAACCCTAAACCCTAAACCCCTAAACCCTAAACCCCTAAACCCCAAGCCCTAAACCCTGTGAGCGCAGGGCGCAGAAGAAGCCCTCAGCGGCCCCACGTCCCGGAACGGCTCCAGCCAAGTTCCAGCGACTGGAGTCCGAGGCAAGGTTTAGGGTTTAGGGTTTAGGGTTCAGGGGTTTAGGGGTTTAGGGGTTTAGGGTTTAGGGTTTAGGGTTTAGAGTTTAGGGTATTAGGGTTTAGGGTTCCGGGTTTAGGGTTTGGGGTTTAGGGTTTATGCTTTAGGGTTCAAGGTTTAGGCGTTAGGGTCTAGGGCTTGGGGTGGCACTGAAAGTAAGTCAGAGTTCAGGACGTAGGGCTTAGAGTTTTGCCCGATTTTTTCAAAACGATCCCTGCGTAGTTCTTAAGCGAAACCCTACAGTAAGAATGAACATATTGGCATTACGCATAATTATGATAGCAGCAAGATGAAGGATAAAACTACTGGCAGTGACATGCAGTGACGATGTTGTAGAGTTTGTTGAGTTTAAGTGTCGATGAGGTTCGAGGCTTACAGAGTTTGGGTACATAGAGCTTGACGGCCTAGGCCTAGGCATTCTCACAAGGCACCTCCCTTTGAGATGCTAGGTGTCTGTGGGATTATTGGGGTCTACCCGCAATGTTTTGTAGCTCCTTCTCAACAAATGAAACCTAAGACATAAGAGAGATGCAGATTCACCAGCTTCTCTCGCATGAGTTTTGTCACTTTTGACCCAAAACCCAAAACCCCGATATAAGGGCTTTAGGGCTTCTAAAAGGTTGCATGTTCTTTGCTCACCTTCCTTTTGCGCAAGGACTTCGCCATTGCTGTTGAGGAGTACAAATAGCACAGTTTGAGGTGTATGGTTTGGGGTTTTGAGTGTAGGTTTAGGGTTTATGGTTTATGATCTTGAGAAGTTTTCTACAAGTCGTGGCAGTTTTGATCAACTACCAGAAATAGAACAGAAGCGCTAAAATGGAAAATGCCAGCTATACCAGCATCTACGTCGTTTTACGCCTATATATCGAATTATCAGGCAGTTTTCGGATTTTTGTGTGTTGGAAGCGAGTTCCGAACCAGTAGCTGTAACTGCGGTAGCAGAGTGGTTTCTTGTTTTTCATCCCCTCCTTCCTCCAAATCAACATGCCCCTTCGAAAGGATCGTAGTCTACAAAAGGGCCACCAATTCCCAGTTCCCAGGCATCTTTTGTTTCTAGGGGCCAAACTCCTAAACTCAAAGACGTACCCTAAAAACCTCTGCGCCCTGGACCTGAACGCTCAGGGCCTTGAACTGAAACCTAAACCTAAAGCCCTAAAACCTTAAACCGTAAACCCATAAACCCTAAAGCCCTAAAACCCTAAACCCTAAAGTCCTAAGAGCCTAAACTCTAAACCCTAATTTGCAAGCCCGGGATACTACGCTGTATCGAGGAGAAGCTTTGTGAAGAGCAGATGCCCGAAACACCAGCAAGTGCACCGGAGGCCTGGCCACATGAGCTATAGCCTTAAACTCCTTGAAGGGGCTGATATAGGGCAGTAACTAGGAGTTTAGACAATAGACAATATGATAGCCATACAGTAAATCATGATATGGTAATGTAGCACCGGAGTAACATAC